ACCATGCATCACCAGACTATTATATAATTGAAATGGAATAAGTATCTTCACTTAAAATTCGTTTATTATCTACTACCTGCTATCATATATTTATTTATTTATTTATTTGCAGTAGTGCTTTAGAAATGATGTAGTGTTCTATCTTTCGCTTTGCTTAAAATGAGTGGTCTTTCCTTTTCTTGGAAGTATACAAAACCAAAATAATGGTGTAGCTGAAATTGTAGTTTCATGCCTCTAGTGGTTCACCAGTTATCCATGTTTCTTAAAGATCAGGTTTCGTCAAGTGTTACTGCGTTTGAATTGCGGAGGACTATCAGGTTATATGCTTTTTCCTCTATGCAGTTATCAGTTATACGAAGTTATAGATGAGTATGTTTTTGGTTATCGATTTGTGAACTGTGATAATTGACTAGAAGATAGTACAATCACAATATCACAATAGACACAAAGCTGGTCAGGCTTGCTTTCATGGGTTTGTACATTCTGCTTTGCACTTATTAGGATAGAGACCAGCATTTACTATCCCGCTTTTTTTCCTTTCAAATTTTCATTTGGGACCAGGTATTGCCCTAGTCTGTTCAATGTCTTCCATAATTGCTGAGGTCTTGTGCTGTTACTTTTTTTTTTATCAGTGACCAATTCATATCTCTGGGAAGATGAATGCTGGCACATTCATGAGGAGTTAAAATATTGAACACTGCCAGAATTGCCAAGGTTTGATCTATCTTCTGCGATCATCTCCCGTCTTCCTTCTAGTAGTCCATTAGTCCATCTACTTACCAGTTACCACTGCTCGCTTTCCTTTTGAGGGATGACAAATAGTTTCATTTTTTATTGTTAATTATATCTCTTGTTGTTCAAGAAATTTTCATTAGTATGATTATGATATATTTGCAAATACATCCATGATATGACCTGGGTTGTAAATCCTTTCGTTTTGTGGACCTGCCCCACTGTTATTTGTATTTATGATGTTGCTGTAACTTTATATGCCACACTCTTGATCTAGACACATCTAGTTTACAAAGGCAGATAAAGATCAGATTGTACAGGCTCCTCAGGTGATCTAGACACATCTAGTTTACAAAGGCAGATAAAGATCAGATTGTACAGGCTCCTCAGGTGTTCTTGCCTGTAATTTCTGTGGATTTACTACGAATTTGCTGGACGAAATAACTCTTTTGTTTTCTTGAGGTTCCATAGGCAATATTTAGACACTAAAGGGTAGTTTCAGAGAGATAGACCATGCAAAATTGCAAAGCCTAATTTATGTAGTATACTGCATGGATTATGGTCTACTTGTCTGTTGCTTTGTTGATGCCAGAGTGGGACTGTGGGAGAATTTGCACCTAATCCCTTATCATGCCCATCTTCGCTTTAACCGGTGAGAAATATCGATGTGTGTACAGGCTATACAATCTTTTGGAAGATGAAAGCTGAAGCAGCCTGTTGCTTTGTCATCGACTGGTAGGCCCGGGGGACCTGTCTCAAATTATAGGATATGCATCCTGTCATGCTGATATAAAGATTCTGTATTTCATGGGACCGGCTATGGATGTGATTTGGAAATAACTGGGTGCATCGAAAATTTCTGCACAATTCATCAGGAAATGGATACAGGGTGCTGCTTAGACTGGTTTCATGGTTTTGCTGGGTAGTTGGATTAGTATTTTACCTTCCCAGCCGAGATGGTTTAGATCTCCCTGGATTCCTGCACTCCTTGCATGTGTTAGTTCAGAGGTAGCATCAGCAAGTATAATTTATTGGATTTTTGGGCGATCGTGGGGCTTCATTCTTCACTCGGTGTCAGTGCCCATCATCTTCAATCCAGTTGGATTGTTCTGGTTTTTGCTACGAGTGATGATTTGCTAATCGTGTACTGATTTTTCTCCAACAGAAGTGTCTATAGGGTTTTGGCTGATCTTGCTCGTAGAATCTTCTGCTGTTAAGTTGCGATATGTATAGTTGGGTTGAATTGTGGACTTGTGGTGCTGCGCATGGCCGAAGGCACTTCCAGTTCCAGCCTTTTGATAACACGAATCTTGCAGTGTGTCAGTTCAGTTCCTCTCCTTTGTTCTTTGTTCTGTCCCATATAAGGATGGTTTTGTAAGCTTAATAATAAACTAGTATGGTGTATGGTGGCCCGCGCAGATTACGCGGCTAGCATCATTATATTTTCTCTCGTATAATAGCATATATGTTTTCTTATTATATTATTCAAATATATTAAAATGACATCATAATTTTAAATTTTGCAATAACTTTACGAAACTACAAATGTGTAATATTCACACTGTATTTTATATACGTGTTAGTTATTAATTATTTTTAATATCAAATTTTAGTTATTTGTAAATTATATATATTCCTGTATGTACTCTAGACTCGTTTTTTAATATTTTTTTTAATTCCAAATTTTAATATTTTTAATTCCGAATTTTCTGTAAATTGTATTTCTATATAGACTCTATACTCTTCTTCCAATATTATTTATTTTGATTTCTGAATTTTTATTATTTCTAATTGTATTTATATGTGGACTCTAAACTCATCTCTCAATATTCTTAAATTTTTAATTTCGAATTTCAGTTACTTCTAAATTGTATTCCTATATTGACTTTAAACTCTTCTTCCCATGTTTTTCTTAATTTTGAATTTTAGTTATTTGTAAATTGTATTTTTATACGGACTCAAAACTCTACTTTTAATTTTAGTTTTAAATTTCTATATGGACTCTACACTCTACTTCTAATATTCCTTATTTTTTAATTCCGAATTTCTATTTTTTTTCTTAATTGTATTTCTATATGGACTCTATAATCTACTTCTAATATTTCTTATTTTTAATTCCTAATTTCTATTATTTCATAATTGTATTTCTATATGGACTCTATACTCTACTTCTAATATTCCTTGTTTTTAATTCCGAATTTCAGTTATTTCCTAATTGTATTTCTATATGGACTCTAGTCTCCTCTTCTAATATTTCTTATTTTTTAATTTCGAATTTTCACTATTTCTAAATTGTATTTCTATATGGACTCTAGTCTCCTCTTCTAATATTTCTTATTTTTTAATTCCGAATTTTAGCTATTTCTAAATTGTATTTCTATATGGACTCTGTTTTTTCTTTTTCTCCGATTAATGTGAGAATTTCTAGACCATGAGAGCGAACGTGGAGGCTCTTTTTTCTATTCCTTTAATAATATAATAGATAGATAGATGGATCCAAACCGGAGACGACTTTGTTCTCCACCAGAAACCAACAAAGATCGCCGAAACTATTTTTGTCTCACCATCGGCACTACTCCTACCCAGCTAGTAGTCAGCTGTCGGCTGTAGATAGACTCCTGAGGCCCTGTTTAGTTCTAATTTTTTTTTTCAAAAAATATCATATCGAATCTTTGGACAGCTAAAACCCTATAGATACTTTTAATTAGTCTATGATTAGCCATAAGTCTATGATTAGCCATAAGTGCTACAGTAACCCACATGTGCTAATGGCGGATTAATTAAGCTTAAAAGATTCGTCTCGCGGTTTCCATGCGAGTTATGAAATTAGTTTTTTCATTCGTGTCCGAAAACCCTTTTCGACATCCGGTCAAACGTCCGATGTGACACCCAAAAATTTTCATTTCGTGATCTAAACATGCCCGGATGTAAGCCTGTTTGCACGCACAGTTCCTTCCCTATTTTGATAGGTACAGTTGACCATCATGAAACTTCCAGGACTCTTCTGGCTAGCTTCATATGGTGGTGGGCTAGACGATTTGAGTTCGAAGCCTCACCTTTTCTAATTATTTGATATTAGGTCATTCCTTAGTATTCGCGTCTTTTAGGTAGGTACAGTTGATCATCGGTCAAACATCAAGCAGTGTATCTATCTTACTCTCTGTCCTAAAATAAATCAACTTAGATTATGATGTGATATAATCTACTATAATAAATATATATGTCCTAAATAAAATTAACTTAGATTGTGATGCCATATAACCTACTACAATATATTTAAATAGAGGTTATCTTATTTTGTGCTAGGTCGATTTATAGATGGTTCGTACACACCGTCCGCCGCTAGAAAATAAACAGAGGACAATTTTTCTTTCTCCTAGCTACTCCCAGCATTCAGAATCTTTTTTTGCTGTTGGAATCACGCGAAAGATGGATAAATATACAGGAGGGATAGCCGAGGATATCGGCGGTGCCCATATCCAGTGCATCTGATCGGCGGCGAGATGCACGAGAGTGTGATGGCGAGCGCTGTGAATCACTGTGAGGACTGAGGAGAGCTGAAAAGCATAGTGCGGGCGGCGAAAAGAGGAGGATTCGGGCGGCGCCGCGACAGAAATATCTCGTTGTGTATATCTCAACTTCTGAAGACGGAAGGTGGCGGTGCCCAAGTGCCACCGGTTAATTAGCTGCTGCTTCACTGAAAGCTCCGTTTCGAATCCAGGTGACGGGCGCCATCGACCAATGATTTGTGACTAGATTCTCAAAAAATAAAAAAGATTTGCGACTAGATTCAGGTAAAGTTGAGTGAGTGAAAGGCCGGCCTCCTTATTTGGCTTATTCGAGAAATAAATGAAACGGTATATTTACAACCGAAAAATAATTTATAAATAAAAGTTTTATATACGTACTCTTAGCGATCTAAAAATAAAGGCAGAAAAATAAATTTTAGTGAAAAAATTTCAAAAATCAACTTTAAATTTGAGTGAAAATTTAAATTTTGGTCCTAAGTATAAGTATAAATGAAAAGATGGTATTCGTTTCCCTAAAATATGGCCTTCGGTGGTATCCACGTAGAGCTTTACGTTAACTCTGCTTAATGATTAGAGTAAGATTAAAAGGTGATAGCGTTGTCAACCATAAAAATTCTAGGCAAAACAGGTGTCGAACGGGATCAAATTCACAGTTGGCGCGGGGGCTGTGTACACCAACACGAGATTTTTCGTGAAGCAAAAACTCGTGGATGGTCAATTTCTTCTCTCCCATCACATGACACGGTCTTCTCTACTTCATTGCTGACCCAAGAGACCGTCTCATATGCTTCATTTCTTCTCCTCTTCTCTTCCCCTTCGTCCCCGACAAAGCACCACAACTCCGCAAGTTTTCTCTTTTCTTTTTTCCCCTTCTCTCTTTCGCCTACTCCTTGTTCAATCGATTCTTCCCAGCTACGCGACTCTTCCTCGCTTTCTCGCTTCTCTCTCTGCGCCACTGTGGATCAAGAAACAGCTTTAAAATCCAATCTTTTTTAGGCACCTGATGCCTCGTCGGTAGCAGTATATTTTCAATTCGTTATTTTTTTAGAGCTTAGAATCTACTGGCAGCTTGGATTTTTCTTGGGTGGTTGCTCCCAGTGATCGGCCGCATTGCTTGCGTGGTGGCACACCGTCAGCTTTGGAGTAACCTGTAACTGCAAGAGTGAGTATTTAGTGCTCGCTTTCGGCGATTCTTGTTTGCTTGCTCCCTTCTCTGCTCTTGTCCGGATTTGGTATAGAAGCAATTTCGAGTGATTCTTTTCCTTTTTTTCTCGAATTGCTTTTTTTTTTTGGTAGGTTTGTTTGGCGTGAGCAATGGTGAACGACGGCGAGCAGGCGTTGACGATCGCTCCCGCCGCCGCCGCGGATTCTAGCGCGGAGCCGGCCCGCCACGTCGGCGGCGGCGGAGGAGGAGGAGGCGGGCTTGCGGAGGAGAGCTCGGATGAGGATAAGGGGAGCCAGCGCTTCTCCGACGCGGAGGACCACTCATGGCGGTCGCACTCGCGCCAGGGCTCCGTTGCCCTCGAGGACTTCATCTCGACGTGCGCGTCCGTCCGCTCCGGCGCCGGGGACGCGGACGCGGACGGCGGCGGCAGGAGGAAGTCGTGCGTGTCGGAGTGCTCGCTGGGCGACGTGGACCTCGAGGCCGGGCTGGCCGAGATCAGCAAGGCCAGCCCGGACACGGCCGAGAGGAATTGCCGCATCTGCCACCTCGGCCTCGAGAGCGCCGCCGCCGAGTCCGGCTCCGGCATGTTCCTCGGCTGCTCCTGCAAGGACGACCTCTCCTGCGCCCATAAGCAGTGCGCCGAGACCTGGTTCAAGATCAGGGGAAACAGGTAATATCTCTCAGCTGCTGCTAATTCCACACTTCACTTCTGATGATTTAATCTGCTAATACTATGCACAAACTCGAATGAAAATATTTGGCTACTGTAACTGGATGGATCTTTTAGTACGAAATGTTCCTTGTTTTTGCTTTATTTAGGTAGGGATATGAAGGATAGAGTGTGATGTGAGAGGTAAGGGCAAAGTGGAGTATGATTAACCAGTAGGATCTAGGAAAAGCTTAGGAACCCCAACATGGTGTAGAACATTTCAGATGGAGGATAAAGTTAGATTCCTTTCGGTCTGCTTTTTCTTGCAGATTCTTGTGTAACTCTCATGATCTCCGAAAGTGGAAGCGCTGACCCTTTTCTTGGCATGCCTTCGTTGTGGTGATCTAGACTCTATAGGGAGTGCTATGGTGTCACATTCCTAAAAGAATGTACTTAGATACTTCTACACGAACATTATGGCCAATAGTAGTTAAGTTACCTGACGGTCATTTCATTAAGAGATCACGAGCTATGTTTATCTGACATCGAATTCCAAGGAACTAGACTATTAGAATTCTCACTGGTATACATACTAATTAATCTTAACTATTAAAAAAATGAAGTGAGAAAAAAAGAAGAAGATGGAGGGTCCTCATACAAGAATATATGAGTAAGATATAGTAAGCTGAAGATTGTTTCTTATCCTATCCTTGCTCTTCAAATCATTTGATGAGCATGTACCATGTAGAACCAATATGAATGGAAAATAAATTTGCATCAAGCTATCATCTTTAAGCAATTAAATGATTGGTGTTTTTCAGTACAACATTCACAAGAGAAATATAACAGATAGTCCCTTGAGGCAAGCATCCAGATGGATGGGCTATTTTCTCCCTATACATATGTTCACTGTTTTACTAACACCAGTATTTCCTTTATTATGCATTTTATAGTTATAGTTACTTTTTTTAGATAGTGAAAATGTTTTACATCCCTAGCCTCTAGTTACTATGGGATGACTGTTGGTAAATGCTAGGACCAGAGCTCTGAATTAAGGTGTATTTCACAGCCTTTTGTGTATTACTGTTGCTTAAATGGAAGGGAATATAATATTGAAAGTGGGAACCTGTTTTTGTGCTAGTATATCGTACCAACATAGTTACTTGGGTTTTATCACCTCAATTGAGGTGAGGATTAGAGTCAGGATAAGATAAATACATGCTTGATATTTCTGACCAAATTACAAGCATCTGTGCTATTGATCAGTGTTGAGATGTAACTGCACTTGTGCCCTTCCACTTCATGTTGTGCTTTGATAGTGGTTCAAGTGAAATATTAATTGTTAAAGCATTCATAATGTTGTTACTCTCTTTGTATTGTAGAGGCATAAAAGAATGTGTTAGCATTATTCTCCTTATGATCTGTAATATAACTACATAAGCATAACTCCATTTTCTGCTTTTGCAATTGGAATCTAGAAAATTAAAATGCTCCATGTTCCTTTACTTGTCTTAGGATCTGCGAAATCTGTGGCTCAACTGCATGCAATGTGGTAGGTATCGGTGATGCCGAGTTCATCGAGCAGTGGAATGAATCAAGTAACACCGCGGCTTCGCAAATGCCTGCCAGTGAACCTCGGAGGTTTTGGCAAGGCCACCGGTTTCTCAACTTCCTTCTTGCTTGCATGGTGTTTGCTTTTGTTATATCTTGGCTCTTTCACTTCAATGTCCCTGGATGAGTTTTCCAAAAGAAAATGTCGTAATAAAATCTTCAAAGCCATTGTTACAAGTAAATACTAGCCCAGCATCAGGAAATCCAAAAGGATGCTGAGCTGAACTGAAAATTTGATGAAGAGGGCGTTGGTTAACAGTAAGGTTGATGTTAGTTTTGTAGAAAGTTTATGGCATAACATCCAAGAAAGAAGTCACTGTGTGAAGAGTTGGTCACGGTGAGCAACTGTGAATTATGTTGATCATCAGATCATCGGTGGTGGAATTGAAAGCAGAGAAAAGAAATATCTCATGCTTCGTTAACATTAGAATGGTTTGAACAAGTTTTTGTTATGTGCATACACATATTCTGTGTGTTATCTGTGTATTACATTTTTGTCACAATTCGAGCGGTACGGGCCAGTTTGGTTTGAGGCCTAAATTAGGCTTGCCAATTTTTTGGCAACCTCAACAATAATTGTGTATGTTTGGATTGAAGCCAAATTTTGGCATGCCTATATAACATAGGCCATTTCAATAGCTAAATTAGTTTAATTTGGCTTCAATCCAAACACATGTTGGCCTTACCAAAAATTGGCATGCCAAAACTTGCGTGTCCATGCACTTGGCCGTCTGGTCAGCTATCCTGATCTCTTACCCGCCCGGATCAATCTGGGTGGTTCAAATATATAAAGCACATCCCTGGATTTAATATCCACCATGTTAAATCTGAAGTTTATAAGTCAAATTAGGAACAAAATAGTTTATCTAAATGTTATTAATATAATTGTGGATTTAGATTTATGGAGCTAAGAATAGCTCATTCGAAGAAATCTTGGACTTGGAGCTATTTCAAACAGGTAATAGCATGCAACTGAGATATGTTGATTGCAGAACGATACGAGATAAGCTTGCTTAGAATACAACTATTCACATGAGTTTTTTGGACGAAAGGCGTCATGTTAACTACAGCCACTTGACGAATTTGGTTTGCCCAAGGAAGGCACGGAGAAGTGGAGAACCCAGGAGAAATCAGTTCGAAGATTTTTTGGGGACAGAAGATTTTATACTAGTTTAAATGACCAAGATTTGTGTTGGAGTAACCGCAGCGGTCAGCACGTTGGTTGGGGTGCAGGAGAGTAACGTGCAGGTCGCAGGAATTCTGGGAGGACGACGCAATCAGCCGAGCAACATACAGGAATGCAGTCGACTCAATTGTTGGCGCCTTCTGTAAAACGTAATGACAGATTCTCAAATCCATATGTCTGCTAACATGAACTCCTAGTTAGGGCCCCATTTTAAACGTAGTAGAAAATTCTCCCTATTCCAACCGAAATTGAATTTGTGAAACGGCTATAAGATCCTACGATTTTATTATGTTCTAAACAGGGGATTGCTGTGCTATCCCTACAATCATTCAAGGTGTATGCAGAGACATTGCCATTGCCAGCGATAGCAGAGACATCAGTCTGCTCAGAGCAAGTTTAATGGTATAGCCAGCTATTGGCTCCAAATCATCTATAGTCAATTTAATAGCCAATTCATATAATAGTTAGAGCAAGTTTTGTAATAGGAGTGGTTGCCACATCTAATTTTATCCATGTAAGATCAGAGGTGATATATACAATACATCACACCTACACTACCTCTAGCATACTAACCCAAATGATTTTATTTTATTTGTATGCCATATCCACTCTTTCTTTCATCTTTTTTTTAGGTTTGTGTGGAGGTTACATGACGGGTGCCTCATTTTCTATTTCCTCACTTATTTCTTCCACCTCATCATCCAATCTTATGCGGCATGTTTAGGGGGGGGGGGGGGTGGTGGCAACACATCTAGCTGTAGCGCCCGTTCCGTCGTGGCGCCTAGCGGGAAAATGTAATTCCTAAAAACCCTAATTTCGAAATCTGTTTCCTTGCTTATTGTCTAGTGTCCGTGCCAATTCCGGATCTCAAATCCCCGATCGATCGTCAAGTTCAATCCCGAATCCAAATCCTTCCCAAATCAAATCCCTCCGCAAAAGTCTATTTCGCCTCCCTCAGGTTCGATGGGCCGAATTCCTCTCGGCCCATCTCCCCCTCCCTCCCCATCCCCCTCTCTCTCTCTCTCTCTCTCTCCCTCTCCCCCCGCTCTGCCCGTGCGCTGCGCACGCGTGCGCGTGAGCTGCGCCGAGCCGAGCGCCCTCCGCCCTCGCTGCCGTTTCCCGTCGACGCCGCCCAAATCGCCGCGCCGCCCGTTGCTTCCCGCGCGCGCGCGCGCCATGGTGGCCGACCGGCCAGTCGCCGCCGCCGTCAGCGCCTGCCGCGCCTGCCTGTGCCTGCCGCCCGTGTCGTTGCTCCGCTCCAAACCGCCCGGCCGTCATCGCCGTCGTCATCGACTTGGCCCCGCCTCTCCTCGCGCGTGCTTCCAAGGGACGGAGGCAGAGCTTCCCCCCCTCTGCCGCATCGCCCTCTCTCCCTCCTCCTTTTCCCCCAAAGTGGCAAGGGGGCAACCCCCTTTCTCTCCCCCCCTTTTCCCTTTTCCCTCCCGCCGGCGTCATCCTCCCCCCCCGGTCGCCGTTTGGGCCGCGACCGCCGAGCGCTGGCTCGCTCCCTTGACCGCCCAAGGTCGGTTTCCAAACCGACATTGCCGTCCTATAAACCCAGGCGCCCTCCCTTCCTTTTTTCCCCTCCCAATCTTCCCCGTTTTTCACCCACGCCATTGCCGTCCCTCTCGCCGACCGCCGCCGTCGCGTGTGCCGGAGGAGCCAGTGCGCGCTAGGACGCGGAAGGGGACTCCGGGCGCTCGTCTTCTTCCTCTTCCCCGGCCCGAGGCCGGAGAGATCACTCCCGTGCCGTCGGCCTCTCGTCACTGCGCCCCATCACCCCCGCACGGTAGTGCCTCCCTTCGTTCTCCCTCCTCGTTCCATCTCCTCCCCTTAGACTCGGGTAGTAGCACGAGTAGCCTCCCCGTAGCTAGCTGGCGCCGCCCCGACCGTTGCTGCCGCTCGCCGTGTGCTCGCCGCCATCGCCGCCCGTGCTCCGTAGCACCCGCTCGTTGCCGGCCTCGCTCGGCGTAGCTCCGCCCAATCCGACGCTAGCAACGAACTCCCGGAGTCGCGTAGATGCTCTAGCTCGCCCGAATCGGTCTCCCGTCGTGCCGTCGCCGTTTCCCCCTTCTCTCGCCACCGGTTGCCGCCACCACAATCCGCCGCCGTCGAGCATCCCCCGGCAAATCCGAGTCGTTGGCTCGTCTCCCCTCATCCCGTGCAACCTTCCGGTGTGCTCGCTTTCGCCTGTATCGCCGTGGTTCGCCCCGCCGTTCGCAGCCACCGTCCGCCGTCCGTTCCGGCCGGCGTCTTCTTCAACCTCCCGCCGGTCCGCGTGGCAGCCACATAGGCGCCACGTCGGCGCCAGCTCGGCTAAGACCGGGTCGAGCTGACCCGGCCAGCTGCTCCCTCCGTTCCCCCCGTGCGCATGGTCCGCGGTGAGCCATGAGGCTGCGCGTGGGCCCGCCGTATCCGCGTCCTCCTCGAACCGCGCGCATGCGCCGCGCCTCCCCTCCCCAAACCCTAGCACGCCCCGCGTGCACCTCGCTCACGGTGAGCCGAGTCGCCGACAAGCGGGTCCCACCCGGGACCACGCGGGATGGACCCGGCCCACCGGCTCTCTCTCTCTCCTCCCCGCCCGCGCGCGCGCTTTGGGCCGCCTTCTTGGGCCGGCCGGCCCATTAAGCTCGGCCGAGCCGCCCCTTTCTCTCGGGCCGCGCCCTAGCCGCCCGAGGAAAGTATAATTTCCCTCCCTTCTTCTTTTCTTTTCTTTTCTTTTCCAAAAAGGATTTAAATAAATCCTTTTCCTTTAGACCAAAAATCCAATAATCTTATAAATTCAATATCTTCTCAACCGTAAGTCCGTTTGACTCCGTTCAACTTCTAAAATTCCTCAAATCTCGAGATCTATCTAATGGCACGCTTAGAGGTCAATAATAGGGCTTTATTTTCGCCGTTTGCTGAGTTGTCCCGTTTCGCGTGTAGTTTCGGAGCCCGAAGACCCGCAGTGCGAGGATTTCGAGGATCAAGCTCAAGATCTCGAGCAAGGCAAGCCACCTTTGAACATCTTGAGCCTATATTTGAACTTAAGTATGTTGCTTGAAAAATATTATGCATTGATAGGATTGCACTTAATCTACATGTCTCGTCTGCAAGGCAGATTGGCGGACCTACCTAACTTGTTGCAGTTGACCCCTCCATTGTAATTATTATACCATGTTCCCTTGTAACCACCTAGTTGCGCCTCGGTAATCGTGCACTCTGCACGAATATCGACGGTCGCCTTCAAACTTAAAATCTGAGAAACATCTTGGGTAAAACTTGGGTTTTACAAAACACTTGGAAAACCCGACACCTGGGTCGGTGCTTGCGAACCTAAATGAATTTCCAAATTCGCGGACCGGGGAACGTACCGGGTGTACGGTTCCCCGCTCTTGCACTTAAGGACCGTTTCCTTGGAATTTCATCCGAACATAAGACAAGTACGACCACATGGGTGGAATGGGACACCCCTGGCTGAGTAACTAGCTAATCGGGGGAGCCATGATGCCAAGAGACATGTGGATTCAACGGGGTGGTGTCGGGGAGGACCCCCGGGTTTCCTGGCACAGTATGGTCTGGGATCCCTCTCGTTGGCATATGGTGAACCTGTGTCGGCTTTCGAAATGCCTTGTCGTGAAAGCCTTAAGGTCTCTAGTCGTGGCCGTTCTGCACGGGCTGGATGATCCGGGTTAGTAATATCGTGTGGGTAAAGTGTACCCCCCTCTGCAGAGGTTATTAAACTGTTCGAACAGCCGTGCCCACGGTCATGGGCGGATGTGAGGTGATTCCTAGCGTAGTTTTGTTTGACTACTGCTTTGTGAAATTTGCTGATGTGGTTTGGGTTCGATGTTTGGAAAACCTGCGGCTGATGGGATCAGCCAGGCCCGGGTGGCCGTTTAAAAGTCGTTGGCCGGGTGCCAACCTTGACCAATTCAAAAGACTGATACCTTGCACATACTCCGACCGGGCGAGACGCACTGTCTCATCCGTGTCGTTTGAGAAGATCTCACTTAGTTGTTTCAGAAAAGAGTTTAAATAAAATCAATTGCAAAAACAACAGCCTTTCCTTGAAGCCTGCATTAAACACTTATTTCCCATGGCTTGCTGAGTACTTCTGTACTCATCCTTGCCCTATATAAATAATCCCCCCAGTTGCTGAAGAAGATGAAGCGGATCCCGCTGACGAGGAGTTCTTCCAGGAGCAAGCCGGCTACGATGAGTTTTAGGGTTTCAGCCTAGTTCCTAAGTCGCGCCTGTGATGTATGGTCCAAGTCTTGGCTTCCGTTTCCCTTTTGTAATGCAGTTGTGAGCTCGGGAT